CTCGATCTTGTCGTGTCTGGGTGCTTCCTGGTCGTGTTTGGGTCCTCCTTGTCGCGTTTGGGTCCTCCCCTTCCCGCGCGCCCTCCCGTTTCTCACCCGCGCCCTGTGCGGCTCGCCCCTGGCTCAGAGGGTCAAGACATAGCATCTGTCGCCCAAGGCGGATTTCAGGGCCTGCGCGCCGTCGTCGCCGATGCCGTTGCTGTCCAGGCGCAGCACCTGCAGGCCGCGCATGGAGGGCAGCGCCTTCGCCAGGGCCTGCGCGCCGTCGTCGCCGATGCCGTTGCTGTCCAGGCCCAGCACCTGCAGGCCGGGCATGGAGGGCAGCGCCTTCGCCAGGGCCTGCGCGCCGTCGTCGCCGATGCCGTTGCTGGCCAGGCCAGCCCTGCAGGCCGGGCATGGAGGGCAGCGCCTTCGCCAGGGCCTGCGCGCCGTCGTCGCCGATGCCGTTGCTGGCCAGCCACAGGTCCCGCAGGCCGGGCATGGAGGGCAGCGCCTTCGCCAGGGCCTGCGCGCCGTCGTCGCCGATGCCGTTGCTGGCCAGGCGCAGGTGCCTGCAGGCCGGGCATGGAGGGCAGCGCCTTCGCCAGGGCCTGCGCGCCGTCGTCGCCGATGCCGTTGCTGGCCAGGTGCAGGTCTGCAGGCCGGGCATGGAGGGCAGCGCCTTCGCCAGGGCCTGCGCGCCGTCGTCGCCGATGCCGTTGCTGTCCAGGCGCAGCACCTGCAGGCCGGGCATGGAGGGCAGCGCCTTCGCCAGGGCCTGCGCGCCGTCGTCGCCGATGCCGTTGCTGGCCAGCCACAGGTCCCGCAGGCCGGGCATGGAGGGCAGCGCCTTCGCCAGGGCCTGCGCGCCGTCGTCGCCGATGCCGTTGCTGTCCAGGCGCAGCACCTGCAGGCCGGGCATGGAGGGCAGCGCCTTCGCCAGGGCCTGCGCGCCGTCGTCGCCGATGCCGTTGCGGGCCAGCCACAGGTCCCGCAGGCTGGGCATGGAGGGCAGCGCCTTCGCCAGGGCCTGCGCGCCGTCGTCGCCGATGCCGTTGCTGTCCAGGCGCAGCACCTGCAGGCTGGGCATGGAGGGCAGCGCCTTCGCCAGGGCCTGCGCGCCGTCGTCGCCGATGCCGTTGCGGGCCAGCCACAGGTCCCGCAGGCCGGGCATGGAGGGCAGCGCCTTCGCCAGGGCCTGCGCGCCGTCGTCGCCGATGCCGTTGCGGGCCAGGCCCAGGTCCTGCAGGCCGGGCATGGAGGGCAGCGCCTTCGCCAGGGCCTGCGCGCCGTCGTCGCCGATGCCGTTTCTGTCCAGGCGCAGCACCTGCAGGCCGGGCATGGAGGGCAGCGCCTTCGCCAGGGCCTGCGCGCCCGGGGGGCCGATGTTGCAATTGTTCAGGTCCAATTTCTCCAGGCGGGCGCACAGCCGCAGGCAGCCTGCGAGCCCCGCGACCTGCGCGGGGGTCGGGGGCGGCATCCCGTCGAAGTCCAGAATCGTCACGCCGCCCAGCTGCGCGCGGCTCATCCGCCGGAAGAGCGCCTTCACCGCCTCCCGGTCCGCGCCGTTGGTGAAGGACCTGTCCTTGATGAGCCGGTCGAACTCGTCCGGGCCCACCGGCCACCTCCTCCCGGCCTTCGTCACCCCCGCCCCTCCCCCAAGGTCGGCAACGGCGTCCCACTTCGCCTGATAACGGTAGACCTTCTTGATCTGCTCCGCGGAGCAACGCTCGTACGTTGTCCAGCCCGACTGGTCGTAGCCACACTCGCGCTCGCTGCCTCGCTCGCGGGGGTGCTGGGTGAGCAGGAGGACGGTAGTGGCTTGGTGGGCGTACCACAGGTCCATCGTCTCCTGCAGCCCATGTTTGAACGCGGCCTTCTCGGCGGGGGTACGCTTGGCCTCGTCCGCGGCCTTCTGCGCGTCCTTCTGGGTTTTTCCTTGCCGCAGGGCGGCGGCCTTCGCCTCATCGGCCTTGTCGGGGTCGCCCTGCAGCAGCGAGGGCCAGTCCCAGAAGACGCCCATGTCGCTGAACCCCTCAAAGTTATCCATTCCTCTGGAGTACTTGTGGCGCTCCTGCTCCAGGGTGTCTATCACCAAGCTCAGCTGCACCCCATTGGGGTCGGGATGCTCGCGTGAGTCCCAGCAGAACGAGATGGTGATGATCGGCGCCACCTTGTCAACTCCTCCTCGCCCGCTGGCTTCCCAAATGGCCCGCAACTCGCCGGCGGACACGAACGCCTCCTCTGGCAGCTCCTGGCGCCTCTTCAGGACCGTGCCCCGCTGCTGCAGAAGCCACGACATGCGGACCAAGCGCACTGGGTGAAGGCCCTCCACGGTGAACGCAAGAGCGTCGAAGAGGCTCGTGGCGTCTGTGTACCGCGTCAGGTCGAAAGACTGGCGGGAGGCCATGTCGAAAGACTGGCGGGAGGCCATGCAGCACCCCATCGTGTCGGCGCGGGGGGCTGGCTTGCAGAGGCAGGAGGGCGCTCGCGCCTGCTTCCAGACCTGCGTCCACCCGTGGAAGCTTGAGCCCAAGCGCTCACGAGGATCGTGGCCCGTGGGGAGCTCCACCGAGGGTGGCCAGTTGCAGGGTTCGTATGGCGGCCCCACTCCATTTTGGCGCACCTCTCACGGGTATCGTGGCCCCATAGGGGAGTCCCACCGAGGGCGCCAGTGGTAGAGTTCGTATGACGACCCCGCCCCATTTTGGCACACCCCTCACACGGTTCGTGGCCTCATAGCCTCATAGGGAGCTCCACAGAAGGCGCCAGTGGCAGGGTTCGCATGGCGGCCGCGCCCCATTTCGGCACACCCCTCACACGGGTCGTGGCCTCATAGGGAGCTCCACCGAGGGCCTCATAGAGCGATGGACCCAGAATGCGGTCGCCGCATCTGCTTATGGTTGGGTCCTTCGTCAGGCTATTTTTTCATAAGTTTTCTAGGTTGATGGAGGCGGGCATTGACTCCTCCTCATCCTGCTCCTCCTCCTCCTTCTCCTCCTCCTCCTCCTCCTCCTCCTCCTCCCCCTCCCCCTCCACCTCCTCCTCCTCCCCTCTCACCTTGAAGGCACGCTGAAGGCAAGCTGAAAGTACGCTGAAGGTATGCTGAAAGTACGCTTTGCTCACACCTTGAAGGTACGCTGTAGGTGCGCTGTAGGTACGCGCTTATACAAGGACAACAACAAGAATACATTATTGTAGGTACGCTGTGGGTACGCTGTAGGTACGCTGAAAGTACGCTTTATTCACACCTTGAAGGTGCGCTGTAGGTACGCTGTAGGTACGCGGTAATGAAGGGAACACTAAGACAACACTACTCTAGGTACGCTGAAGGTACGCTGTAGGTACGCTAGGCACGCTGGACCCACACCTTGAACGCATGCTGTAGGTACGCTGCAGGTGCGCGCTTATACAGAAATGAAAGAAAACAGTAAGACAACAGTATTGTAGGTGCGCTGTAGGTACGCTGAATGTACGCTGCAGGTACGCGTTTATAAAGATTATCCTGCGACGTACCCAACCCTTTTCTACACAAGTGGCAATTGCACTGAGGACCACTCAATACCGCAGGACATTTCGGCGCCATGGTCTAGTGGTGGTCTGCGTAGGACGTACCTCCGCTGAGCCTCCCAAAAGCCCATGCGCGCCAGGTGAGCCAAGCGCGCCAGGCGCGCCAGGTGCGCCAAGTGCGCCAGGTGCGCCAGGTGCGCCAGGTGCGCCAGGTGCGCCAGGTGCGCCACGTGCGCCACGTCCGCCAGGCGCGCCAGGCGCGCCAGGTGCGCCAGATGCGCCAGGCGCGCCATGTGCGCCAAGTGTGCGCCAGGTGTGCGCCAGGTGTGCGCCCGGTGTGCCAGGTGCGCCCAGAACGCCAGGTGTGCCAGGTGCGCCAGATGCGCCAGGTACGCCAGGTGCGCCAGGCGCGCCAGGCGCGCCAGGTGCGCCAGGTGCGCCAGTGGCGCCAGGCGCGCCAGGTGCGCCAGGTGCGCCAGGTGCGCCAGGCGCGCCAGGCGCGCCAGGTGCGCCAGGTGCGCCAGGAGCGCCAAGTGAGCCAGGTGCGCGCCAGGTGTGCCAGGTGTGCGCCAGGTGCGCCTAGTGCGCCAGGTGCGCCAGGTGCGCCAGGTGCGCCAGGTGTGCCAGGTGCGCCAGGTGCGCCAGATGCGCAAGGTGCGCCAGGTGCGCCAGGTGTGCGCCAGGTGCGCGCCAGGCGCGCCAGGTGCGCCAGGTGCGCCAGTTGCGCCAGGCGCGCCAGTTGCGCCATTCGCGCCAGGCGCGCCAGGTGCGCCAGGTGCGCCAGGTGTGCCAGGTGCGCCAGGTGCGCCCAGCGCGCCATGTGCGCGCCAGGTGCGCGCCAGGTGCGCGCCAGGCGCGCGCCAGGTGCGCCAGTTGCGCCAGGGGGGCGCCAGGTGTGCGCCAGGTGCGCGCCAGGTGTGCGCCAGGTGCGCCAGTTGCGCCAGGTGTGCCAGGTGCGCCAGTTGCGCCAGGCGCGCCAAGTGAGCCAGGTGCGCCATGTGCGCCAGGTGCGACAGGTGCGCCAGGTGCGCCAGGTGCGCCAGGTGCGACAGGCGCGCCAGGTGCGCCAGGTCTGCGCTAGGTGTGGCAGGTGCGCCAGGTTCGCCCAGCGCGCCAGGTACGCCAGGTGCGCCAGATGCACCAGGTGTGCCAGGTGTGCGCCAGGTGTGCGCCAGGTGCGCGCCAGGTGCGCCAGGTGCGCCAGTTGCACCAGGCGCGCCAGGTGCGCGCCAGGTGCGGCAGGAGCGCGCCAGGTGCGCCCAGCGCGCCAGGTGCGCCAGGTGCGCGCCAGGTGCGCCCAGCGCGTCAGGTGCGCTAGGTGAACCCAGCGCGCCAGGTGCACCAGGTGCGCGGCAGGTGCGCGCCAGGTGCGCCAGGTGCGCCAGGTGCGACAGGTGCGACAGGTGCGCCAGGTGCGCCAGGTGCGTCAGGTGCGCCAGGTTCGCGCCAGGTGCGCCCAGCGCGTCAGGTGCGTCAGGTGCGCCCAGCGCGCCAGGTGCGCGCCAGGTGCGCCAAGGGGACAGGGAGGCCTCAATGTGGTCTGCGTAAGACGTACCTCCGCTGGGCCTCACAGGAACCCGCGAACGTGGCGACAGTTGCGCAGATCGCAGCCCCGCAGGAGCACAGGGAAGCCTCAAAGTGGTCTGCGTAGGACGTACCCCCGCTGGGCCTCCCAGGAACCCACGAAACTGGCGACAGTTGCGCAGATCACAGCCCCGCGAAGGGAGAGGGAAGCCTCAAAGTGGTTTGCGTAGGACGTACCTCCGCTGGGCCTCCCAGGAACCCACGAAAGTGGCGACAGTTGCGCAGATCGCAGCCCCGCAGAGGACAGGGAGGCCTCAAAGTGGTCTGCGTGGGACGCACCTCCGCTGGGCCTCCCAAGAACCCGCGAAAGTGGCGACAGTTGCGCAGATCGCAGCCCCGCAAGGGACAGGGAGGCCTCAAAGTGGTGTGCGTAGGACGTACCTCCGCTGGGCCTCCCAGGAACCCACGAAAGTGGCGACAGTTGCGCAGATCGCAGCCCCGCAGGGGACAGGGAGGCCTCAAAGTGGTCTGCGTAGGACGCACCTCCGCTGGGCCTCCCAGGAACCCACGAAAGTGGCGACAGTTGCGCAGATCGCAGCCCCGCAGGGCACCGCGAACACAGGAGAGAAGAAGGAGGAGAGGGCGGGAGGTGGATACCACAGTGTTCTATTCAAAACGAGTGCCCAACACAAGGAGGGTTGGGAAAAAGTAGGCGGAGCCCCCACGGGCCAAGTCTTATTGCGGTTGTGCCGAATCCTCTCTCCTTCGGGTCAACTGGCCACCTCGGGCCAACACCCTGGAAAGCGCCCAGAGCACCCCTCGTCTGAGGCGCACTGCTTACCAGAAGTGGCGGAGGAGGCGGAATGTAGAAGCGCCGTTGTGCGGAGAACAAACGAGCAGCCGTCCGTCTGCGCTGCTGGATTGGGCCGCGTGGCCAACGCCGTGGCGGCTCTCCGCGGCACCCTCACTCGGCGTGTGGTGTAGAAGGCGTGCTGAAGAAACCACAGGGGCAAGGCGGCTGGCAGGGGCAGCAAACCAGCCTGATGGTGCAGGCTGCGGTGAGTCCGCTGCGGCTGGCAGAGGCTGCAAGGCTAGACGGAAATGCGCGATGGTGGCTGTGGGAAGCGAAGCAGTGCGTTGGCTGTGCGGCGGTAGTTTGCCCTGCGGCATGCGCTCGCCCACGACTAGCCATGTGTGGGGGCATCGAACGACAAGGATTGTCGGATCGATTTCCCTCTTGAAGTCCCCGTTGGCTGCCGCCGCAGCCGCCTCGGGGACCGTTGTGTTTTTGATGGTCGCCAACTCCGTCCTTAGGGCCTGGAACTCGAGCTTGAGGCCATCGATAATACTCTCCGCGTTGTCCATTCTCGTCTCGAAGGTTGCGAATCGGGAGCGCAAATCCTTGTCGAGGCCGTCGAAACTGGTGGCGACCTGCAAACCCAATGCTGAGAGTGGCGTCGATGCGGGCCATGATCTCTTTCTTGGAATTGTCAACGCTTGTACGCAATTCAGCACCGTCAACCTGAGAAAGAGACCGCACCGGCGAGCGCAATCTGGACCCTCCATCACGTCGACCACCTGCTGCCGCAGCGCCATCTCCTGCACTGCTGGCTGCCGCGCTCATGGGGCCAGGTGAGCACCAGGCTGACGCGCAATGACAAATTCGCCGGCCCAACGGGCCAGGGCGTGCTAAGATCTCCGGTAACTGGTTAACAGTATTAACAGTATTTCTAGTTCGCGCGCGCGGGGCGGCCCCTGGGGGTCCCCCGGCGAAAAGTACCCCGACCAACGCCCGACCGCCGCCCGACCGCCGCCCGACCAAGTCTACTCAGAGATGGTTTTCCTTCTGGGTGCGGCCTCTCAGGCTCCCCAGAGCGCGCTCAGAGTGCCCCAAGAGGCCCCCAAGACTGCCCAAGAGGCCCCCGAGACGCCCAAAGAGCGCTCGAAGACGCCGAAGATGACCCCAAGACGGCCCAAAAGGCCCCCAAGACAGCCCAAGAGGCCTCCAAGACGCCCCAAGAGCCTTCCAAGAGGCCTCCGAAGAGAGCCCCAAGAGGCCAAAATCGTTGATTTTCATTGGTTTTTTCGATGTTTTTTGTGTTCTGGCTTTTTCGGCTTCCGGACGCTCCAAGACGGCCCAAGAGGCCCCCAAGACCGCTCCAAGACGGCCCACGAAGCTCCCAAGACGGCGCCGAAACGACCCAAGAGAGCCCTCAAGACGGCCCAAGTGCCGCCCAAGACGGACCAAGAGGCCCCAAGACGGGCCCAAGAGGGACTCAGGAGGGATACCGAGAACTCAAAAATGGAGCCCTCCGTCCCAGAAGGCGCCCAGGAGGTCCCAAAGAGGCCCCAAGAGGCCTCCAAGAGGCCCCAAGATGTCGCCAAGAGGCCCCAGGAGACTCCCAGGAGGCCCAAAAGAAGCCCCAGAAGGCTTCAAACATGTCTCCCAGGCGCCCCCGAACGGCCTCTCAACAGACCCCAAGAGGCCCCCCAAAGAAGCATCTTGA